CTATAACAATCTGAGGCAATTTGCAGAAACTATAGATGTATATTCTAACTCTATTTTCTTGGAATATTTGATAGCTTGAGTCTGTGTAGTAGGTTGACAGTAGGCAAATCGGCAAATCAGAGGAGAAAATCCAGAACTTAGTATAATATTAGAATCAAGAGAGGGAAAGATAGCTGCTCCCTCTCTAGAGCTCACAGAGATGGGATAGCTGGAATTCTGGGACCCAGTTTGGGAAAGGATGTGTGCAGCACTTTGTGTCTTGGGCACAGGTGACACCTTCTACAAAACAAGACCTGCAGTCCACAGTCATTCCTGCTAGATTCCTGTCAATCTGTCAGATTTCTTAGTGTCTTCTTCCTTAAATGACCTCCTTGTTTAGTGTGGTGGTTTGAAAGAAAATGGCCCCCAAAAGGAGTGGCACTAATAGGAGGTGTGGCCTTGTTGGAGGAAGTGAGTCATTGTGTGGGTGGGCTCTGAGGTCTCTCTTTCCCAAGCTTCCTTCGATGTGACAGTCAGTCTGACTTCGTGTTATTTGCAAGATGTAGCCTCTCTCAATTCCAGCACCACATCTGCCTGGCTGCTGCCATGCTCCCCTCCGTGATCACAATGTACTGAGCCTTTGGAACTGTAGGACAACCACAGTACCCATACCAAGTATACACACGGACTTTGGACTCCCATAGAACAATGTGAGGTGCACTCTCACCCTGAACTCTTGGGGAAGGGTCTAGGCCCTGCCCTATATGAAATGACAGAGTATGCACACCCCCATGGAGGGCCTCACCCTCCCTGGGGGAATGAGGGGATAACGGGGGGGGGGGGGGATGGGGGGAGGGCACAGGAGGAGGGGAGGGAAAAGGAGAGGGACCTGGAACTGACTTGTGAAGCAACCTTGTTTCTTATCTAAATTAAAAAAAAAGAATAAAAAAATCACTATTGATTAAAAAAAATTTATTTCTATGAGGTGCATTGATCATGGTGTCTATTCAAAGCAATAAAAGCCTGAACTAAGACAAAAGTTGGTACCAGTTACTGGGGTATCTCTGTGATCGGCCTGACCCATCTTTTTGTTTTGGAGTAATACAGGCTTTAGTACTTTGGGTCAGGAAAACTGTGGGATGCTTTAAGGACTGTTTAATGGGGGCATACTGGTAGGGGTATGGAAGACAACGGTGCCGATAATGATTAGAAATGTCCATAGCTGGGGACACCAAGAGGTGTCAGAGAAGAATTTTAGAGTGTCGCCTAGAAGTCATTCTTGTCATGTTTTGGTGAAAGAAGTGGCCGCCTTTGCTCTTGTCCAAAGAGTATGCCTGAAGTGAAGAGTTTTGGATTAATTCAATCATCAGAAGGAATTTAAAAACAGCCTAGTACAGACTCTTGTCCTGTGGGCATCAGCGGTAACTCTAATGAAGAGCTGAGAGAGGAAAAAATGTTTCAGGAGGAAAAGAGCATCAGGTAGAGGATGGAGCTAAATCCTCTGTTCAAGGATTTAGAAATGGAATAAATGCAGTGGTGACCTTAGGGAAAGGTCCCACCCAGCTAAGTTTCAAATTTGAGGAAAGGAATTAAAGAAAAGTTCAGAGCTGGGTACGGTGGTGTGCGTCTTTAATTCCCACACTGGGAAGGTAGAGGCTGGCTGATCTCTGAGTTTGAGGTCAGCTTGGTCAAAAGATCAAGTTCAAGGATGTCCAAGCTTGGGCAGTAAAGAAAAACAGAAGACTGGGAGGATGTAATTAAGCAAGGGGCCGTGTTCTAGCTCCAGTTAAGTACCAGACCTTTGCAACGTTGGCCACTTGGGTCTGGGTTTAGAATTCAGAATAGAAAAGAAAGGAGTTATGGAATAAAGCCACTGAGGCCAGGCATGTGTTTTAGGGGTGTCCTTGTTTGGAGGCCTACTAGAGAGGCCATTGAGTGAAGCTGTGAAGTTGAAGTCTAGATTGCCTTGGAGAACAAAAGATCTTAAGAGATGTCAGAGTCATGGGATGCCTGCCAAGGAGAGCTATCAATAGGGAGTGGAACCAGCCCAAGAGAGAGAAGTGTGTTGCAGTCAACAAAGCTGAACAGAGTTGGGGACCTGAAGACTACTTAGACATCAATCATGAAGGTTCAGCGTTTGGAGTTTGTTCAGCTGATTTTGGTCCTGCTTTGGTCCAGCATTTCTTCACTATGCTCCCTTCCCTACATGTTGGAAGGATCATGTATGCCCAGTGCCATTATATGTTGGAAGTATGTGATCTCATTTTTTTAATTTGATATTTACAGGTTATTACATTTAAGAGAGTGCCATGCATCTCAGAAGAGACTTTTGCTTTTGACTTTGAAACAAGTTTGAAGCTACTGTAGACTATGGGGACTTCTGAAGTTGTATTGAATGCCTTTTTTTAAAATTATGATGTGGCTACAAGCCTTTGGGTGCCAGGGAGTAGACTGTGGTTTGAAAGAAAATGGCACCCAAAATGGTGTGGCAATAGTGGGAGTTGTAGCCTCATTGGAGGAAGTGTATCACTGTGGAGGAGGGCTTTGGGGTCTCTTTTCCTCAAGCTTCCCTCGGTGTTGATAGTCAGTTGACTTTCTTTTGCCTCTGAGTCAAGATGTAGCACCACATCTGTCTGCATGCTGTCATGTTCCCCTTCATGATCATAACGGATTGAACCTCTGAAACTGTAAGCAAACCACCCTCAGTTAAATGTTTTCTTTATAAGAGTAGCCATGATCATGTGTCTCTTCGCAGCAACAAAAATCCTAAGTAAGACACCTAGGTCCAGCAGTAGAGGCCAGATAGGAAGGCTTCTGAGTTCCATTGCTGTTTACTAATATAGACATAGCTGGATTAATTTTGTTTGTTTGCTTGTTTTTGAGTACACAGATCTTCAGAGTCATTCCCGTCTGCTGGGCTCTATGGATTCTCTGAATCATGAACAAATTAAGCCACAGGAACATGTTTAGGATGGAGGATTTTATTCCCTCACATCTCCCTAACATCTGCAAGCCAGTTTATCTCCTGTGGGCAGAATTATGAAGAGTCTCTGAGGTTTCCTCTAAAAGCTCGTTGCAGTGACTTGATAGTGATATCACTAACCTTATTTGCATGTGGACTCTCTGGTAGATGACCATGTATTCATTTGAGACTTGCATTTCTTTCTTTGCTTTCTTCTATCCTAGAGTATTTTAGCTGATTCCCATTCTATGTCTGATACCTCCCATCTGATTGAGATCTGGCATCTTGTAAACTCTTTCCAGGAAGAAGTCAGGAGTCCTAAAGCAGTGAGGTGAGGCACCCACCTGTGGCAAGACACCATGGAAACCTTGGCACCCTATGTCTCACAGCTCTTAGAATCTACCTCTTCACCTCTGGTTCCCTGCAGGGTCTTTCTCTGACTTTGATGAACCCACAAGCAGGCTGTAGGAAGTTTCCCAAGGATCCATTGAGATCCAGCTTTGGGAACAAGATCCCACTGAAGAACAAGGACCTCTCCAGTGCCTGAAGATGGTCAGGTGAAATTGTAGTGTTTCTTAGTTTACCACCCTCCACTCCTGTTCCTGTTCCTGTATAGAGCTTCAGGAAGGCCAGTCCTCATTCACTTAAAGGCTAGAGAAACGATGGCTCACTCTCTGTTGCACCCAGCTCTTACCGACTGCCCCTTGCTTGCCCTTCCCTGCAGTGCTGTCTGTCTACATGCTGAGACTTAGCTGCCACTCCACAACCACCCTCGCTCATCGTCTCGAACTCTCCCTGCGCATCTCAAGACCCCAGGCTGTTGGGTTGTCACCAGCACACTCAGCTCCCTCTTTCACACCCCACCGCACCGGTAAACACATTTACAAAGCCTGTGGGGGAGAGAAAGCGTCCGTCCATCTCAGGCATGCATCTCAGGGTGTTCTGAGTCACTTGGGTCAGAAGGAGGGTCCATTCGGTGACTAGTCCATGGTGGGCAGCGTCCTCGGCAGTGACTTTCCTAGTCTGGAGGTGGGCTCTGCTGAGCCTCATCCCAGTCTTCTCATTGGCTGATGACTACCTCCTTCCTGCTACGGGGGTTGGTGATGCACATTAAGCATGTGTTTTCCCTGAGCTGTGCTTACTGGCTCCAGAAGAGATGTACGTGTGGCTTCAGTCACAATTGCCTGCAGCTCTGTGGGCTTAGGGCGCTCCGCTGGGACAAACATGTACATGTCGAAGAGGTTATGCACAGATGTCTCTTTCCATGCCATGTTAATGTAACACACTAGTGGCATAGCACATTGCAGCTGATTCCAGAACAGCTTCCTGCAGGTCAACTGCCAGGTCTGGGTTCTCCAGGAAAAGTGGAGCTGAGCTCCTGTGCCATGCTACAATTGTATCCTGCCAATGCCATCTTTGAGTCTTTAAACTCACTCTCCTTTTGTCCAGTTCGTTTCGAGAAATCCGGGCTCTCACAGCTGAGAGACCCGTGGCTCTGGCCTCTTCTCATCCCCCAGTATACATCGTGAGAGCCCAGTCCTCCCATTCCTGTCTTTCCTTACAACCTCCCCACCTCCATGTCCTTTGTGACTCTACCCCAGACTCTAGAAATGAAAGGCTTCACCTGACTGGGCTGGTGACCTTCGGGGTGTTTCAGGCTAAGGTGGAAAGGGGGCATCAGGAGACAATATTTCATCACCTTCCTGGTCATAACCCAGGGGCTTGTGCATATGGAAATGTGGAAATATCAAGTCTCACGATAAGGCCGCATTCACTCAGGTTCAGACGTAACTGCGCTAACACAGAAAAAGGACTTACTGCTCTGGAGGGGGAGATGGTGAATGGAAACGCAGAGGTTGGTTGAGGCTTATGGTTTGGAGCTTCTTGCCATTGGCCATGAGTCAGTAGTAACATAGCACACCATAATGGGAGGATGTGGGGGGGGGTGGATGCTGCTTCTCTTATAGTGACTGGGAAACGTAAGAGAGGTGAAGCAAGGGCCACTGCTCCCGGTGTCTTCCTTAAGAACACCCCCTGTGATGTGACATTTTCCCACTAGGCACCACCTCATGACAGCACCGTAGGCTGCAGACAAGCCTTCAACGTTGGCCTCTGGAGGACCGCCAAGGTACCAGTGATAGCAGGAGCATGAGGAAAGCCAGCCCTTCTGCAGTATGGATGACCTAATGTCAGGAGAAGGAGCTGACAGTTCTCTCCTTCAGGGGTTGTCTATGGAAGCCTGGCATGTGCGCCATCACAACAGAGGTTCCTCGTATGAGTCAAGGATCTTCTACCTCTTTCTACAATGTATGTTGACAGGGGGAAGGTAAGCAGCAAATAGACGAAGGACAGCAGAGGGAGGAGAATGGGAGCCAATGCCAGGGTCTCTGAGACTGGGGAATGACCTGTACTTTGAAGCTCAGTGCTCTCAGCAGGATTGTGGGAGGGTCTTTTCTGTCCAAGAATCCAAGGCATGATTGGTTGAGCCTCCTTCTTCCCCATAAGGGAAGGGCAAACGCTTTTTTCTCACTTTGATTTAGTGATGTAGCCTTGAAAACTCAACCAGGAAAAGACAGAATGGTAGGAAGACCATATTGCCTATCCGACTCCTACACTGTGTGCAAAGCCCTGGTCCCATGATTAATATTTGTTAAAATAAAATCTCAGAAGCCAGACACAGTTTGCCTTTAATCCCACAACTCATTAGGCAGAGGCAGGTGGATCTCTATGAGACTGAAGCTAGCCTGCTCTACATTAGGAGTTCTAGGCCAGCCATAACTACATAGTGAGACCTTGTCCCAAAGAATTATTTTCAGAAACGTATCATTTGAATCAGTCCTTCTTTAAGCATTCTGTAATTAAGCAGTATTATTTGGGATATGTTCATCGCCAGCAGAGACAACGGTTGCTCTACTATGCTTCCAGAGTGTTCTTTTTGTCACCAGCATCCAATGGCTAAACATTGGCAGTGCATTTTCTGTAAGGCGTCATTCAATACTTGTGTTTCATAAAACTCAAGTTGTTTTCATCTATCTATCTATCTATCTATCTATCTATCTATCTACCTATCTATGTATCTATCTATCATCTATTATCTGTCGTCTATCATTATCTGTCTCTCCTTATCCCTCCCTCTCTTTCCTGTCCATATTTTATTCAACAAATATTGAGAAGTATCTATGGAATCACATCTAGGGAGGCTGCATACCCAGACTTACGTAATCCAGGAGAGGGACTCAGAACATGCCATAAGCAGCAGAGACCTTCTGGCAAATATATGACTGATGTCATATGAAGCCTTGAAGGACACTTTGCCTCCTGTGAGACACAGAAGGCTTCTTTCCTCCATGCCTTTCATTCAGGCTTCACCTTTCACCCTGATAGGAAACCTACAGCTCTTCAGAGAAGCATCGGTCTGTTCTTGGAGAAACTGAACAGAGGCCCCTCTCTGGTGTGGTGCAGTCGACCTTGTTTTCCTGGGTGTCTTTAAATCACAGAGCCTATCAACAGATGGTCACATGATTTTTAAAAAAAAAAAGCATTGAGAAAGAGTGAAACAAGAGCAGAATTAAAACCCAGAAGTGACCACGTGGGTGAGTGGCTGCTAAGGGTTGGTTCTGGAGACCCAGAGGACTTCGCCATTCCAAGGCTCTGACCTCAGCATGGCTCTCAGGGCCCCACAGAAACAGCTTCCTTCAGCATGCACAGACTGATGGGTCGGACAGGGGAGGCTCACACTTTTCCATCAGGCCTTAGCGATTCATGCCATTTCTGGGTGATTCTGTAACTTTTGTCTGGTTATGCCAAGGAGTTAGTTTCTAGGATGTTTAAATCATCCTTGCTCCTCTTGCCACCAATCTGTGCCTGTTTTAGCTTCCTGAAATGTTCCATTCACCTCTGTTTCTTGGGTCCATAAATGACCTCGCCTGTAGAGACGGCAAATGCCTGAAATGCTGTTTCCTCTTTCTTTTGGGGTAATAATGGTCACTTGGGGTTTTGTGATTGTCCTAAATGGGATGTATTTAGATTTGAGAACAGCAGATGCTTTGGGGAGGGGGGGTGATTCTAAAACTCTCTTGATAATCTATCCATCTTGCCTTTCAAATACAGATGTCCTGCAGTCACCCTTTCTGCCAGGCTTATTTTCTTCACGGGGAAGTTTAGCTAATCTCAAATATCCAGCTCATTCTTCAGCTTGAAAATTCATGGTCCATGCATTGGGAGTGATGCTTCACGATCACACTCCCCTCCCAACCTGTAGAGCTATGGCTAGAGAGGTCTGTAGGAGCTGCCAAGACAGAAGCATTGATTGCATTTTCACTGGTATGTATCAGGACCCCCACATGTAAAATGGGCCTCATGAAACACTCCGCATGGATGCCTTCCACTAAATCCAGAGTACTTCAGAGACTACCTGGAAGATAATTAGCATGCCTAAGTGTCTGTTTTAATTGTTAGTAATATGCTTACCAGATCGCCCTTCCCCTTGAATTTCATGCTGGAACTTGCAGCAAAAACACCAGTCAAAGTGTTTATTTCCTGTACTGATGGAGAGTGTCATCTGTGCATTGCAAGCACTTGTGGTAAGTATAAGTATACCGCAGGAACACAGGACGTCAGTGCAAACATGGTCTGCGGTGTGTGCTCCTGAGTGTAACTAAGGTCTTGAGGCCCTGAACGGTAACTGTGTGTGTGTGGCGGGGGAGAGGTGCTGTGTTGTGTTAGGAAGTCTACTATGCCCTTTTAGAGATCAGAGCCCACAATTCTCCCACCCTGGTTATGCCCACAGTGATGCCCCCAAGATGCCTTGGCAGTGGCCACACTGTCCTGATCCTGACTTTCCAGAGTGCCTGAACCATGAAGTTATCAAACTAATTCTCTGCACCCAGTTTTATCCATTTCTATCTGGAGACCCAAACCCAGCATAGGTCTGAAAACAGTTGGCGGCTTAGGTGGCTCCCCCATATTTCTCTCTTTGTTGGGAGATTTTCTCTGTGTAGTCTTGTCTCTTCCTACCCAGTCGGGTCCCTGAAGCCGCTATGAAATAACCGCTCTGAGACTTAATATCTATAATTGTTTGGCCATTGGCTTAGGCATCTTACTGGCTAGCTGTCTCATAATTATAAGCCTGTAACTATTAAAGTGTCACCTTATCTTAGCAGAGAGTGCCCAGGATTTCTACCCTCCAGGTAGCTACATGGCATCTGTCCTTTGTCTTTCTGTTTCCTGTCTCTTTGTTCTGAATTCCTGCCTGGCTAAATCCTGTCAGTCCATTCGCCAGAACAACTTTATTCACCAACCAATAAAAGCAACACGTATTTGCAGCATACATAAGGACCGCCTACATCATCTCATTGTTTCTGTCATTTCTGTCATGCTTACTTACTTTCATGAAGTTGGATGTAGTCATCAAAAGCCATAGCTTATCCTTTTCAAAAGCATGAAAAATGGATGGTTTAATGACTGTCCTGGTTAGTTTTATGTCAACTCTATACAAGCTTAAGTTACTTGAGAACATGGTCTCTCAGTTGAGAAAACGCCCTCATAAGATCTGCCTGTAAGTAAATCCGTAATGCATTTTCTTGATTAAGATTGATGTGGGGTGGGGCAATTCACTGTGGGCAGTGTCACCCTGGTCAGGGGATTTTGGATGATATGTGAAATCAGGCTGAGGAATCCACGAACTAGAAAGGCAGTATGTGACACTCCCCCACGGCTTCTGTATAGGTTCCTGCCTTCAGTTACTGCTCTGACTTCCCTGGGTAATGGAGTATGACCTGAGAGTTGTAAGATTTCAAGTTGCTTTTGTCCATTGTATTTTATGACAACAATAGAACACCTAACAAAGGATCAGTAATAATGTCTACTATATGTTTTTAAAAGATATTTTTTATTTATCTATTTGTATATAGTTTCATTATGTAGCACTGACTGGAAGAAACTTGCTTTGTCAACTAGGCTATATTCAAACTCATAGATTCTGTGTAGCTCTGCCTTCCAAGTGCTGGAATGTGTGTGTATTCCCATACTAGTCTCCATTTATATCATTATTGTACATCAATGTATAGTATATAAGTATATAGAGACAATTTTTGGATACTCTCTGGAAATCTGAGAACAATTATACTAAAAGCTTTTGTGCTTACAAAAGTAATACAAATGCATTACTAAAAGTAGGAGAAAATAATGGTTTATTACTTCACACAAGGTAATAATGTCCACACCCAAGAACCATGGAATAACAAAAACTCCACTGCCAAACCTAGAAAACCTTTCTTTGAGTTGTTGGTCAGGAGTGGAGGGGTGGGTTTAGGAGGCGTTCCATACAATATAAGCTGTTCCCTTGTTTAGCTCATTGAACTGGGTGATAAGATCCTGTTGATGAAGACAATGCATGTCAAACACAGGACTTGTTGTAATGAAGCTAGAGCTGGCCTGGAAGCCTCCTGCCTGAGGACTACGTCTCATAACATTAAAGGAGCTACATAAGTTGCCAAGAGAGAAAAGCAATAATAGTCCTACCCAGCTAACGCCAGTGAAAAAAAACAATAATCAGTCTGGCAAGACATCCCCAGTGGTGCAACAATGACACCTTCATCTTGTGATAATCATGGTATTTGAATGGGAATGGCCCCTATCTCTTCAAATATTTAGTGCTTTGTGGAACTGTTTGGAAGGAATAGGAGGGGTGGCATTATTGGAGGAGGTACATTACTAGGGGTGGGCATTGAGGTTTCAAAAGCCCATGCAATTCTCAGTTAGTTTGTTCTGTTTCTCACTCTGTTCTGTTTGTGGATTAGGATATAAGCTCTTAGCTACTGTTTGTTCCAGCACCATGCCTATCTGCAAGCTGCCAATCAAATGCTTCATTTAATTATAAGAGTTGTCTTTGTCTAGATGTTTCTTCATAGCAATAGAAAAATAACTAAAACAAAAGTTGGTACCAGAAGTGGGGTATTGCTGTGACAGGCTTGGGCATACTGTTTTTTGGAGGAATGTAGAAGACTTTGGCACTTTCGATTAGTTGGTTGACTAATTGGCTTTAAGTGGGGCTTAACAGTCCTTTCTGGTAATATCTTGTAAGACAATAGAGCTGAGAATGATGTGGACTATGGAAGTTTTGATCAAGAGACTTAAAAGTTGAACAATGTT